CATCTCTCTTACGCACTTACGAGCGGTGATCTCCCCGATTAACTTATCCCCCCCCCCAAGACGTGAGTGATGAAAGAATGACGAGGTCGCAGAGTTCCGACGTATCTTGGAATTCCGAGGATTACGAGTCGTATTTCGGGCACCGAGAAATCTGGGAAGAAGAAYAACTCCGGTTACGGGAAAATTTGAGGAACCCGGTATTCCCCTGCCTCACAGAAAACRATAGATTYTGCGCTAGGGAATTCCATCTCGCYGTACGAAGCGACCTRCGGGGACCCGACTRCCCAAACACGTACAACACGCAGTATTTCATAMCYCYCGGCTTCGTCCTTGTCGCCACTAGTTTCCCGCCATACCACCTCCTCCTCCCCTATCATCAGCTTACAGTAGTACCGTGGAATTCCATAGCACCTTATTGGCCCTCCACCCCATGCCAAAGCTGCAGGAGGCGTGCGGATACCCGAAGCCCCGAAGCCTCGGCACCTAGGCTTAGTTCCCACCAACCCACGCCACGTGGCGGGCTCCGCAGGTGTGAGCCCCAAAGACCGCCCCGACAGGCTCCCCAGAGCCGGCGATCGCGTCAGGATCGGACGGCCCCGCACAACCAATGTGCAAGCCCGCGCCTGTAAATTTTCCCATTGCTCTATTGCATCTATGCCCCTGAACCTTGCCACCGGAGATCTCAGTTCCGACCTGGGACTCCACCCCCATTTTCCAAAAATCCTTGGCACACCCCTTTTGCACTTCCAGGCCCACACCCTACTCCGATCAGGAAGTCGCGCCGGGCGTGAGGTTTGGGCGTCACAGTTCCCTTAGTCTCTTCTTAGCCTCAACCTAGGCACTAAATGAGCCATAAAAAATGAAGCAACAGGACATGGACCCAATTTTTGGCATAGCAGTAGGAATCTCAGGCCATGGTACAAACGGGCAGCATGACGCGGACCCAATTTTCGGCGTAGCAGTAGGAATCTCAGGCCATGGTACAAACGGGCTGGTAAGGGGATGCGGGACCCGGCTCCCATCAGGGTTTCGGTGCACATTATAGCGCCAGGAAGAGAGTCAAGGGGTTCCTAGCAAGGCCATGGTAGCGATGAATCCTTCCTCTTACAAGGAAGCAGTCAATGTCGCTATCTCAGGATCCCTAATGTGCACCTCAACCCTGCTGATAAGAGGAAGGATCGTGAGATAATGTCGCTAGCTCATGATCCTTAATATGCCATAATGGAAGGAGGCGTGAGTTAGTTATAGACACAAGGGCGGATGGGCCTGGTTTCCAGCATAGACAATAAAGCTTTTGAACAAACGAAAAAGAAACGAGAATGGAAAGGTTCTATTGTTGCCATTGGATCACATCGGGGGACAACAAATTGAAGTGGTGAATCAAGTAAGCAGGTACATAACTCTGAAAGCAAGGCGGAATGGTTCAGGTCACTGTAAGTAATGTGACCTTGGATTCCCCTCCAAGGTGCCACCTGATTGGTCAACCATGACTAGTTCTCACCCCTCCGTGTGTTGAGTATAACCCTTTGCAGGGAAGACTAGTATCTCCCCCTTACCTGAACACTTGGGGGATTTATCCTTGGAGGGAAGACTAGACTAGTATCTGCCCCTTACCGGATCACTTTCCCACACGTGGGAGATGTATCCTAAGTCTATGTGAGACCCATCCAGCCTAGACTCGCCTTATCCTAAGTCTATATGAGACCTATGCAACCTAGACTCGCCTAGTAAGCATCCCAACAATAACTAAGGGTACACCTAGATCCCCTCTTGATGCAGAATTGATGCTTAGAGAATGGCGATCTATTCCAATTTGCAAAAGACAAGAACTTGCGGCTAGAAAGTACGAAGAAAACGGCCAGAAATGATCAGCAACCATACATCCGCGGGCATCCAAAGGTCACACAAGCACTTGCCGAAGTCAGCTGACTCACTCTTGAGGTAGGTAGTACTCTCCCCCTCTCTTGCCAATTTGCACTGACTCAATTCCCCCTGAGTAAGACTGTCCTGACCCCGAAGCATACCAAGCCTAGTCGCTCTCTATGAAAGCCAACTCCACTGCTTATGAAGATGATAAAAGTTAATTAGTAACCGTATTGAGTAGCGTGGATGCTATTGTAGCTGCTTTCCTGCTTGCCGGTCGAAGAAGAAGTCACCTTGGTCACATTGGAGGTCCTCCGCATGCAGGAGTGCGTTGCACCCTTCTCAACTTCACCCCCTCACTTCAACGCCCTGCTTCCCTCTTGTGGCCGACCCTATTCCTGAACTCAACCGGTATCCCCAAGTCAAGCCAAACCCGAGGTGAAGTACATCCGAGCACCTCTCGGAATTAGGGTAGGGCAGTCTAGGAGTCACTAGCCACCTCAATACGACCTTTGGAGCCCTAATCTTAGGTATGTACTATTCAGCACCTCTAGGAATTAGGGCTGGAGTAGTAGCAAACAACTCGATGACCTTCTGAATTAGGGGTGGACTTGCAACGAACAACTCGCTACCCTAATCCGGCTTAACCACACCCTAATCCAAGACTAAGAGGCCCTAACTGTCTTGGGATTAGGGTTAGGGCGGCTTGGACACTTGATCAGCGAGTAAGAATTGCCGAAACTAAAAGGAGAGGAGAGAGATAAAGAGTGGAACAAGATGAAAATGATAAAAGAAGAACTATGCAAGTTGAACCAATGTTCATCCTCCTCACTTCTCCTCTTCTCGTCTTCTTCTCCCTTCATCTTCTTCGTCCTTAGTCCTCCTCCATCATCTTCTTCTCATTCAATGAACAAGAACCATGTCCGATTATTCACCCTATGACCAGCACTCAAAGAGCTGTCTGCCTATAACCCCACTTCGCTCTCCTTGGTTGCAACTAACATTATGGCGGAACATCCATGCTCATCACGGATGTTCAAAGGACAGCGCAATCTCTACTATCTCTCTCTCATCTCATTCCACCATAGCCATACTCTCGGATGAAGTCCAAGATCAATTGCTATCCACACAGGGGAGCTTGTGAATGCAGCGCCAACCAAAGAAGTGAAGATGAAGGTCAACCATAGCCAAAGGTGCGTCGCTCATGTCGGTTCCTCTCTCTCTTTCTCCTTCTCTCATCTCCTACACCCTTCTATTGCCCTTCTCCATAACCTGGCTTGGGGCGCTTCACCCTCTCCCACCATAGCCTAGGCCTATCCCCTACAGCCTAGGCCTATCCCCTACTACTACCACTACTCCACCATAGCCATGGAGATCTTCTTCCTCACCCTCCAGCTCCACCGCTCACCAGGAGCTCCGCCTTCCTTCACCCTCTGGGTGGAGGAGCAGCATGACTGCCGGGTAAGCTACCTTTCACTCATTATGCCTGAATGACATACTCTTGCAATGCGGCTCACAGCTTCACTTGGGCTGCAATACCACTGCCTCTTCCGGATACTAGGCCTACAGGAGACTCCTGCCTTTTGGCGGGAACATCGTTGCGCGCTGCAAGTTTACTTCAGGGCCTGATCTAACCTACCTGATATCTAGGTTTGGGCCCGGACTACTCATGACCTTTTGGAAGCTGGATCCTTCTAGGCCTACCGGACTTGTGCTGCACCTACCGGCTACTACCCAAATTCTACTTGGCCATGTCCGTCCTGGCCTTTCTAGTAGTCCGTGCATTCCCGAGTTTCAGTCTCGTGCCTGCGGTTTCCTTATTTCTAGTCTAACCCCTCCCAGGACACCGAAAAAAAACAAAGGGCAAGCACTCCACATAGCAATCATCACACGGGAACTTCCACACATGCAATCATTCACGAAACTCACACGGAAGATGGACATCTCTGCAAGTCAGACCAGCAAGCAGTAATACTCAGGAAATATTATGGATCGCGGACTTGATTCTGTGTGGGTCATTGCACCATGGTGGAAGCCCATGTACAGGGGTGCTGCCTAGGAAAGTCCACGAGAGGGCGCATAATTGGCCCTAGGACTAGGAGGCATGGAGAGGGCCCTGCATTGAGAACTGGGTGACAGTGTTGGAGAAAGACAGTCAGAGTGTAAGGAGGAAGAAGGTATTGTGGCCTGATCGGGCTCATGTGACCAGGAATTGCTTGTTTCTGATCTGGGGCATCAAGCTTCATGGACTGCAATTGGATTATCGACATTTATAATTTATTGTATTACATGCTTTTCGGAGTAGTCCACGGATTTCGAGGTGGTCGCAACGAGGGAGAGAAAAGACCACCTGAATCTCTTTGTGGTTATTTGCCTTGATCTCTTTGCAGTTCCTACTGCACCTTGTTTTGTCTATCTGCTCTATCATCTTGCGAGCTCTTGCATCCGAATCTCGATGTTCATTGTGGCTCATGTACGCGCACGACTTCGCTGATTGTGGATGACAATTGAAGGTTCATTTTGGAGAGAGAGAGAGAGAGAGATTAATAAGCCTAGCAACGTCGAACATCGACAAGATGACAGTTTCCTTTAATCAGAGTATATTTACGTGGATGATTGAATCCTAGTATGGCAGTTGTCTTTTTCTCCTGCTGAATCTCTCTTGGCTGCTTTCTCTTCGGTAAACAAGGTCCTGGAGAGTTACTGGGCCTGTTTTTTGTAACTTGAAATTCCTGGTGTGCATGGACACATTTGCCGCACCGCTGTGGCATGTGGTGTGCGAAGCTTGTTATTCCATGGCTGTCGTTTCATGTGGGTACTTTCATGTTTGTTTTCTAACTGTCATCTGCCTCTGTGGTATGGTTGTCTGCTGGATCCCTTTCTAACACATCCAGGTCTGATGTGCCAGCTGGTACCCCGGTTACAGTAAGTCTTGCTTGTGGGTGTCTCTCTGGAATCGCGTCTTCCACAGGTATGTTCATGAGCTCTCAAATGTCTCCCACCCCCTGGGTTCATCTGGAAATGTCGATTGAGCAGCATCTGAGCCGTCTATTTCCCTGACTATATCTGTTTCTCGCCCACTGTCCTGACCTGCCTGTTTATCTGTCTGCTGTCCGTAAAAGCAAAACCAAATTTAGCGAATAACTTGTACAAGCGGATTTCCTCGATAAAGGAGTATTTTCTTTGAACGGCATCAAAGCAAAGGCAAATCAGGTTTATCTATCTGCCTGTATATGCTAGTTTGATTGTCCGTCCGCGGGCCGTCGGCGTCTCAGCCACTGTCCCACTGTTTTAAATTTGACCTGCAAGTTTTGATTTTGTCCACTTTTCAAGTCTTTTGTCAGAATTTGTCCTTCGGGACATCTGTTAAAATTGGAACGATACAGAGAAGATTAGCATGGGGAAAAAAAAAAGTCTTTTGTCAGAAAGCACTTGGTCTACTCTTTCAGGCGGAAAAAAAAGAAGGAAAAAAAGGATTTGCCTTTGCCCTTTGCTCCCCAGCTCAACAAAATGCTGGAGAATTGCTACGTTGACTAGTGCTAAATCGATTGTCCGTCCGTGGGCCGTCTGTGTCTCAGCCACTTTCCCGCTGGACCTGGTGAGACGGAGGATGCAGTTAGAGGGTGCGGCAGGAAGGCCTCGAGTGTATCGCTCAGGTATTATTGGTACATTCACAAAGATTATCAGGAGTGAAGGTTTCCGCGGTCTATACAGAGGGATGATCCCAGAGTATTGCAAGGTCATTCCTGGTGTTGGAATTGCTTGGGTGAGTTACGAATGCATGAAGCGCTTGTTGAAGCCATCAAGGACGAAGGAATAATTAATTAACAGGTTTGGATTTTTCCGTGTTCCCGTTTTCCTCACCATCGCTCCTTCAAATCACTTGAAAGGACACCGGTTCTTGTGCAAGATATAGCACTCGCTCTGAGTTTCGTCCATCAGCAAGGTGTGGTCGACCGATCCCGCACCCTTGTAGGAATGCCACAGCTATTTCTCCGAACAAGCGAGATGCGTCGGAGATGCGTCGCGTAAAGTCTCTATGAGGATGCCAAGCAGCCTTGAAGTCGCTGGCAGGGGCGCGTTAGTTACTGGGCGTACTTTTGGTTTTAGGGTTTCCTGCTGATCGAACATTGCGAATACAATTTTAACGCGCCCCGGCCAGGTACACTCTGTCGCTCGGAGCAACTTAAAAACCAAGTACGCAATGTGTGGGAAGACAGAGTGAAAGGATGATTCTGCAAGGTGCGAAAAGTATTTTTGACTCACAGGAAGCGAAAGGATGATAGTGCTCAACGAGTGAGCAGCACATTTCATATGCAGTGTGTGAATAGAAGAAGGTGACTTGTGTATGCTTTTTGGCAGACGGCATTAAACGTGGGACTGCGATGCTTCCTTCACATGCGCTGCGTTCATCACAGACAGTGCCTTGCCTTCTCCCATGTGAATCAGAAGGTGCCTTCTATCCGTCGCGAGGGCGGCAGTGTGCTCTACCAAACTCTTCCCTCCCGTCGGTGAGCCAAAATAATGCACCATGCGAAGCAGACGGTTCTTGGGTGATGGGGCATTTCTTGGTCAATGTGTGAAAGGGACAGTGGCCCGATGCAAACTTGTGAAATTTTTACAACATGCTAGCCTGACGGGTTCTTTGCTGAGGCGTAAATGCCATGGTTCCCGCAAATTGTTGCGACGGGAGGCATGCTGTGCACCGTGTGAAAGGGATGGGAGGGTCTTTCAGCGGACGGAGTGGAGAAACGCTGGCAAGCAACGCGGCAGTGAGAGATGTGCATGCCATACATTATTCATTTGCTGCCTGGTGGTCATTTGAAGCGATAGCAGGCGAGGATCTAGGAGCCTACTCGGGGGTGCTTTATGAGGAGAAGGGAGGGGCGCAGCGGGAGGAGAGGGGACGTGGGGGAGGGGAGATTCATCCTTGAGATGCAGTCAGAGGCATACTGGATGGACCATGATGGTCGGTGAGAGCAAGCCGTTCATCGTGCCCACAGTGACTTCATTGCGGGTATTCGAAGCTGCACCAAGAGCACATGGATGCAGCTTAGGGTGGCCTGATGATGACTGCTGGACATGATTTCACTTTGTGGCAAAGGGCGCTTCCGTAATGAATCATGCTCCCAAATCACCGACTGCTGAGGAGGAATCGTCCTTTTCTTCTGCCGTGTTCTGTGCGCAGCTTGCTGAGGCCCATGGGAGGTGGTAGAAGATTTATCTAAGGGCCCTCTCAATCCATCCACTTTCATCTCAGTTGAGATGTTGCGAGTCGTGTTCTTGATTTGTCTTGCCCTGCCCTGTCTTGTGTACAGCAGGTGCTAGTAAAGGAGATCAAGTGGCGAATGGTAGGTGGTGGGTGGTGGGTGGTGGCCGGGTGGGCTTCCATTGCCTAGCAGCACCATTACCGTCTGTCTGTTTAGAGAAAAGGGATGGTGGTTCCCAACAACATAAGCATGGATGAGTTTGAAGCGCTGACTTCAACTCGACATAACATAGAACTCATCAGACAAAAGTGATGCTTGAGCTACGGCACTACGAGGTGGTGCCGGAAGATCTGCTCTTGCATTCTGGCTAGGAATAGCATGGCCAAATTGGGCAAGAGTTGTTAGATTGGGCAGAAGCCCCAGCACCTATATCTTCGGCGACTCCCTCCCTTCGAAAGTGGCTCCAAAGATGGGTGGCTAGTTTCAACCACAAAGGCGGCGGGGTTAGTTTTGTCTGCAAAGGTGGGTGGGTTACTTTTTAACTTTGAACCACAAAGGCGGTGGGGTTAGTTTTGTCTGCAAAGGTGGGTCGGATAGCTTTTAACTTTTAACCACAAAGGCGGTGGGGTTAGTTTTGTCTGCAAAGGTGGGTCGCTGAAGTTTTACCGGCAAAGGCGGGTCGGTTCGTGTGGAGGTACCCAGTCTGATTTTGTAGCCAAACTTGTGGAGATTGGATGGAGGCTAGGTGTCCTGCAGTTCTTCCCCTATGATGTTTTCTTGCCGTGAAGATGCAACTTTGTTCATAGTCTCTGTCCCCTTGGACAACAGCAGTTGGATGATTTGTGGTTCTCCAGAGAAAGCATGCAAGATGAGGCGATGTGTACAGCCTGCGTTCGGTATGTTGATCGGTGTGCAGTTCCAAGTTAAAATAAAAAAAACTTCATTGAGAAAGAGCTTATCTGACCTTAGCAGGCCTTTGGAGCAGCAGCCTTGCTTCTCGTCTCCTCTCCTTGTTGCGTGTTCATTTTGCCTGGTCTCCCCTGTGAAGAGGAGGCCAGCTTGTTTGATTTCTGTTTAGCTGGCTAACGGCGAACAGAATTTGGGCAGAGGTGGACGTCGATGGAAGGTGTGTGTGGAGTGTTGTTCTGCCTAGATGTTGGTTGATATCTGTTATGCCATCTCCGAGCCTTTGGCTCCTGTTAGGAGAGACTTAGAAAAGGAGTGTCGATATGCATGCAGAGGGGGGGGGGGGAGGATGGGATGGGATGGGATGGTCAGATGAGGTGTGCAGGCAATAAGCCTGGGGGACGAAGACTCAAGTATGCAGGAAGGCAGCCATGCCCTTGCTGTGTTGAGGACAGAGAGGTGGAGCCAGCATCAAACTTTTACTGGTGGTCACACTATAGAGCGAGCAGGTCATCATGCAATGAAGGTTTGTGTAGAACTTTGTTTTGGTTTGCAGTACTCAGAAAGGTAGGTTATGCGCGCCATGCTCCGGTCAGAATATCCATTTTGTTAACAACGTCTATATTCTGATTTGTGGCATGAATGAAGAAAGTCAAGGAGTGCTATTAGTTCTTCTTTCTGATTGCATATCGCTAGTGCTCGAGGACCCGTCGAGGCCAAGAAACCTTCGGCACCGATGTCCTTAACGTAAATGTGGCTGCCGCAGTAAAATAGTAAAATTTCTGTTCTGCCGAACGAAGGTCTAGGGGGATGGGTGCTGTGAAACCCTACTGCCACTTGGCGCACTTGTTGGGTGGCTGTCGTTGCATGTGCCGCATGCCTGTCTTCGTCTGTGAATTGTACTTAAGATTCTTTGCTGCCGTTGTGGGTGGTCGAGTACTTTGGATTGCGTGTTGTCGTGGTCGACGCTCAGTTGCGAAGAAAGGTCAAATTTGAAATTTCACAGCTGAGCGTCAAATTTCACTCGGAAATTTCATGGCCGCCTGCTTTGCCACCGCAGGGGGTGATGCAGATCAGATCTGATCTGTGAACAAGCATCACACCCATTGCCCGGATTCGCGACTCCTGGTTCGATCTATGCGATGTGTCCAGTCGCATGGGTGATGGATAGGTATAGGTAACCTCGTTGTATTGTAGTGTAATATTTGCCTTTCCGCTGTAGGCACTGGAAAGGGCGTACGTGGTATAGGACTGTTTAGCTTGCTGGCGCTTTGAAATGTTCTGTACCTGAGTGTATCATTTCCTTCATCTTGGTCTTTGATTGCTCTGCGGCAATGAATGGCCAATGTCGAGGCGGCATTCTGAGCAGCTTGTTGCGCAGCCGCCACACTGGATGGGGAGGGGAAGGAGGGGAGGACTTGTCGTCACCAGTTATTGATGAATTATGTGTGTAAGGGCAGCCACCACACACTGGATGGGAAGGATCAGAAAGCAGGTGTGCGGGCGATCACAGGCCTCTTGTGGCCAAAGGGCGCCAGTTTGATTCCGTGCGTGCACGGATGGATCCGAAGCTAGCAAGTACTGATCAGTACCTACTACATGCACAGAGCATGGCGGAGGCTTCGCAGGAGGAACAAGAGAGGTTTGACAGCAATGAAGAAAGGTATGCCTCCTGGCTTGGTTCTGCTTCTTCTTTTTTTCTGTATAATGTGTACTTGGCTGCCTTTCAGTCGTAGTAGAGCTGCATGCTGGGTGCGGGCGGAAGCCCGTTGGATGGAATCATGGGATGGATGGATGGAGATAGCCATGCATGCATGGTGATGAGCTTGTGTCTGCTGCCATCCCTTGCAAGAATCAGAGCTGGAACATGTCTCACCCGTCCCCCGTGGGGATGCGAAAAAATGGGCCTTTTGCCGATATTGTGAAAGATCTTCCGCACACCATCTCATGGTTTATGGTTGATCGATCAGTCTGCCAGCTTGTGTTGTGCTCTTGCCACAAATCTGGGATGTTTCTTAAGTCCAATTTCTGTGATTGTACTGTAGTCATTCAGATCGATTGATTGATTGATTGATTGGTCCCTGGAGTCGTCAAGTTCGTAATTACCCGTTCCAACTTTTTAACTAAAGGATTATATGAAGCAGGGCAGTGTTCCACGAATGTTTGCTTTGGCTTAACATAATTCCTGTGTAAGTTAATTGCTCTACTGTTTTTTCTTGTGTTTGCCTCCACTGTGGGCTACCTCCTCTTTTTTTTTTTTTCCAATCTATTTGTTTGCTTGTTTTATTTACTCATTTTTTCATTTGCTTATCTATTCCTCATATTATTGTATTTTGTTAATTTGTTTGATTTGCTTGGGTGGATCTGGTTCAGCTTAGTTAAGCACGTTTTGCTATTCTACTCGTTTGTTTCTCTCTCTGTGTGCTTGCTTTGTAGGGTCGTTTGTTTGCTTGGTTGCTTGGTTGCTTGGTTGGCCAGTCGGCTGATTTTGTTTGTTTGTTTCTTGCTTTCTTTCTTTGTTTGTTTGTTTGTTTGTTTGTTTGTTTGTTTGTTTGTTTGTTTGTTTGTTTGTTTGTTTGGTTGGTTGGCCAGTCGGTTGGTCGGCCAGTCGGTTGGTCTTGTTTGTTTGTTTCTTGCTTTGTTTGCTTGTTCATCTGTTTGTTTGGTGCATCATTACCCATGTTTCATTGCTTTGGGCCCCGCTCGACTACTTGCCAAATGTGTAAAAGGAGAATGAATCTTCTGCTAGAACATGGAAAGATGCATCGCCATTCTTGGACATATGTTTTGTCGTTTGCGAATGTCGTGAGCCGAGGAGCGAGGCTCTTTGTTGGGTTCAAGTTTCGTTTCACACGTTTGGCAATCTGCTGGGGAGGGAGTGTAACACGAGTTCTGTTTGATTGTACTTCCCATTGCTAGTTTAGAATGTTTAGAAGTGGAGATATCTACTTATCGCAGAGACCGGAGGGGAACACTGTGAGTGATGTGTGAATCTCAAAACGCGCATGCAAGAGCAAGTTCTTCTCCTCCATATAGCAAAAAAACTTGCAGTCGCTGGCAACCCTTTTTCTTTCTCTGTTTTTCAAGTTTTCCTGGTGGGACGCATTAACGAATGAATGTGCTTTTCAAGAACCAAGAAAGGACTTTTGTTGCCGTTTTTCGGGACATCCGTTAAAATTGAAACGATACAGAGAAGCCTGATTAGCATGGCCCCTGCGCAAGGGAAGGAACCCATAAATAGAGAAATGTTCCGACTTGAACAAAGAATAATGAAAAGAAAGGCTTTTGTAGGACTCCTGTACTCACTTCACCGATAAGGAACTGCCTGAAGTGTGGTCTAGTCGATAGCTTGCCGATGTGCGTCCACAACACACATATCGGATGATATCACAGCGTAGAATTGGTGGAGGTGGAAAAGGGGGAACACCATGAATAACGAATCTCAAAAGGGGCACATGCAAGTGCAAGTTTCTCTGTAGCAAGACTCTGCAAGAGAACTTGCGGTCGTCGGGAACCCCTTTTTCTTTCTCTCCTTCACTCGTAAAGTTTCGCAAGGAAATAAGCAACGAGAACAGCCGCCGTGAACCAGATTGCGACATCCATTTCACAGAGCCGAATCGAAAGCGGAAATCGAAGTGAAATTGTGACAAAATAGGAACGAGAGTAGTTTATAAATAAATATTTCTTCCGGTGCCTCCAATCCTCAAGGCGACGACAATGTAGTCTTCCTAATGGCGTCCTGAACGCCCATCCTCCTTCCTAGCTGCTCCTCACCTAGCCTATTTACATGCCAGCAATGGTCCACGTGTCATTCGCCCGATGCCGCTGAAAGACTCTGGCCACACAGCCTGCCTTTGTCAACACCAGGTACGCGCCTTGTTCTCACTGCCTCCCTTCTCACTTCCTTCCTCCCAAGGATCACTGCGCTTCCACCATCTGGCTACGGTTTGTGCTGCCTGGCTATGGCAGGCGCACACCTCCTTTCTTCTCACTGCCACCACAGCAGCTTTCTCCGCTGGGTGCTGAGGTGGGCGCCGAGGAGCGCTGGCTCATCCAGCAGCATGGCCCGAATGTGTCTGGCTGGGCGGCCAGCCTTCTTTTATGCTGGCTGGCAAGGCTGGAGAGGCCAGAGGCTGACGTCATCTCTCCTCCAGCATGGATACGGACGTCAGCGGCATCTGTGTGCACTGCCATGGGTAGTCAGCAGCAATCTGCAACAGCATCCTCCATGTCAACGATACATACAATTGCACCAACAATTTCAACAGCATGAACAGCACTGATGACGACAACTCCACTATTAAACAACAACAACAACAACAACAACAACGACAACAAGAACAACTACTGTCACAAACAAAACATTGACATCGACGATCTCGACAGCATCAACAGCGCTAGCGACGGCCACATCTACAGTACCACCATTAAAAACAACAACGAAGACAGTTACAAATAAATCGTCTACATCAACGATTTTGCAGACAACGATTACGACGACTAGGAAGTTAACTACACCTATCATATCAACCACAGTCAGTACGACTCCGTGTTCGCAGGCTCTCCCTATGCGCGGGGTTGATTCAGGTGCTTTTGAATCGTGCCAGGGGAGGGCTGAGGGCTCCTGACTGGCGGTTGTGCTGTGCTTCTCGGATCTTTTCTAGCGCCTTCCACACAGATTCGGATGGAACTGGTCGGGCGTGGTGGCGGGGGGAGGCACTGCAGGCGAGGAGGGGATGGGGGTTCCTGTGGGATGGAGGGGAGATGGGGAGGCTCATGCGGTGCTTTTGGTGAGGAGAGAGGAGAGTGTGTGCTGTGGCTTGATTGATCCCTTTCTCGCCACCTTCCCTTTTGTTGGGGGTATGCTCGCTTATCTCAGATTTAAATACTCCTGCTTAATTAGCGCCCTTCCTGTGGGATGGAGGGGAGATGGGGAGGCTCATGCGGTGCTTTTGGTGAGGAGAGAGGAGAGTGTGTGCAGTGGCTTGATTGATCCCTTTCTCACCACCTTCCCTTTTGTTGGGGGTATGCTCGCTTATCTCAGATTTGATACTCCTCCTTAATTAGCGCCCTCCCTTCGAGATTGTCGATCGAGGTAACTTTGCTGAAGGGAAGCAAGTGTTCTGCCGGCTTTTAACCGTTTCTGCTTGGGGTCGAACTATTACGCATGGCCAGGTTGTCACCGGTTTTTAGGGTTTTGCGGCGTTTGCCGTAATTCTGTAAGAGAACTTGTAAGCACAGATTCAATTTTGTTCTTACTTTTAATTTGTTTTCTCTCCCTTTTGATTAGGCTTGTGTTAATTAGTGTTGCACTAGGGAGGCACATGTTCGGGCGATTTCTCGTCGTAATTAGAGATGAAGCACTTAGGGTTTGACTGGGATTCTTGACTATGCTAGACCCTCTGGCCCCTGCTATGATTTTCCCCCACTTCTCATGGCACTGAATGGTCCACGTAGTGGTAGATGGGTTGAGCAGGGCAGAGTTTGATTCTTCACAGAGCGGCGGGGTTAACCCTTCCTTACCGGGGAAGCAATCAACGCCCTTGCCCGTGCTATATTCGCGTCACATAAGGAAGCTGTCTCCATGGGAGCAGTGCCTGAGGCTCTTCCATCCCTAGAGGCATGTGTTCGTTTTGTGCTCAAATTCATAATTGGAGCCTTGGCCAAGACCAGGCTGCACCCTGTCTGTCTGAGTACCCTGTGCCCTGTGCCCTTCTGGAAGACTGTGCAGGGCCAGCCTTTTTGTAACCATCTCGTGACCTGGGCCTATTACCCGTTGGTCACAAAGGTGGGACAATGGGACACTGGGGACAGTGGGACACTGGATGCTGTTAATCATCCAGGCCCCTTTCCGAGGCCCGCCTTCGCTTAAACCACCAGTACTTGGCCCAGCTATCGGCCGCGGGGAAAAAACATAGTGGAAAAAATGTTTCTAGTCGGATGAATTTGGGCGCTCTTGTAGTAGCCCGTACGTCTCCTTAAACCGTGGCTCGTTAGCAGGCACAACTTTAGGAAGTACTTGTGGTTTAAACCGCCACCTTTCTCAGTGTTGGGAAAAATGGGAATATGATTCACACCGCGTTTTTCAGAGGTCCTGAGGAGGCTCGGCCAAAAGAAAAATGGTTGGGCCCTGTGGGCCTTTTTTTTTTTTTGAAAAAGAAGACTGTAACGAGAGGGAAAGATGTCGGGGAAGGCCCGTGAAGTTGCGTGAACGACTTTGGTGCGCACATCGATAATTGGAATAACTTATCCAACTTCTTTTCTTAAAAAAAAAAAGAAAAAAAGAGGGCGACGGCCTCGAGATATCATCATTTATCTGACCGGCCCCATGCAATTCAGAAATATGCAAGGAACATGAGTATGGACGAAGCACAGAAATCCAGAATGCAAAATCACACTGAAGTCCAAGTAGTCAAAGCCAAAGCAGATAGCACATGGAACCGAGTAACCATCCAATTGAGAATGATACAGAAGAATCGTGAGTCAATGTCCATGCCCAACAGGGCAACACCAACAGCATAACCCAAATGTAGCTCTCTCTTGTGAATGGCGTCAGGCGCCCTATGCCTATCCTACAACTACAGCAATGAACAGCAACCAGACAACTTGACTACCAGCGAGTGATGATGTCAACACCAATGCCGACCTCCACCTTCACCAGGTACGTGTCCTCTTCCCCACACTCTCCCWTGTTACCCACACAGCGCCCTTCACCTCCRAAGTACCMCCTTCGCCCTCACCTCCCCTGCACCCTCATGCGGCCCGGCTATGGCCGCCAGTGCCCTTCGTGCAGGCAGCGCCCTACCRCCTAGCACTGGCCTGCTTGCTCTTAGCGCAKCACACATGCATCCGCGCAGCGTGCCCACAAGTGCCAGCATTGGCCAAGATCCCTGCTTCGTGAAATGTTGGCATAGAGGGCTCTTGTTGATTTGCTGGCCCGCCTTCACTTAGGGCGGGCACTAGGCTTGCTGGGGCCTTAGCCCAGAACATGTACATCATGGCAAGGCCCCTACTTGAGGGCTCAATCCTCGCATTCCATCCCCCTTAGCTTCGAAAGTGCGCTGAGATGCTTACTTCGCAGGTGCCTTCCCTTTTAGCTTCCGTTCATAATCTGCCACCACCTGAGGAGCTGATTCCATCAGTTCCTCCCGGGTAAACCACCGATCTTCTTTAGGATCCGT